TGCAGATCTTGCAGTAAGAAAGGAACATATAGACAGTGTAGTGTTTGGCAAGAGCGCCCCCCCCCCACCCGCCGTACCCGAATTCCCGCGGAGTTGAAGCACCTGATGCTCTTTGGCCACGTGTTTACATAACTCCACGTGTCACGTGACCTGACAATTACACACCTGGCCATGTTGTTGTTACCTTGACGTGAGTGCCGCCCAGAGTGCCGCCTCCTCCTTCACTGCCTCCACCAAACATCCTGAGCTAAGAATAACAATAAACATTCTTTTTTTAAAGATATCCTCATCGTAACTTGTATTCTTATTAAAGTATCTTCGTATCTGTCACTCGTGTTCAGTTTGACCTCACCATTTATCAAGTTACTAATATATAAGTAAGAGGTTAGACACTGATATTCTAGGGCTGGGAAAGTGCAATATTGTGTAACTAAACACGAGTGTAACGGTTGTTACCCCCGAGATATAAACATCCTGAGAAAGGAGACAGTTACTTGCAGTTTCATGACCAACGGGGGAACATATATACCTTTGTGGTGAGAAACATCATTAAATTTCAGTATTTAATACCAATAACTTGGAAATTCATTTAACACTTCCACGTCTGTAAAAGTACAAGTCGGCTAAAGTATAAGCTACTTTTTTCAAATTACTTTACTATTGTTCAAGAGCATCCCAGGACAATAGCATATAATCACACAGAGATCACACTAGCGTGATGCACCAAATGAACAAATCCACAAGGGCCATGACGAGGATTCGAACCTGCGTCCGGGAGCATCCCAGATACTGCCTTTTACCCTGTCGTAGCTCAGTCGATTAAGGCAGTGTCTGGGATGCTCTCGGACGCAGGTTCGAATCCTCGTCATGGCCCTTGTGGATTTGAGCATATAATCATATTCCTAGGAGCATACTCAGTTCCGAAGCACCTCGGTATACCACGCATACTGCATTAGTATATATAATATATCAGTAAATTCCCTACCCAAGCCCGGTCTAAGGCCTAGAGCACACCTGAAGGTGCTGGGCGTTCTTCTACTTCCGTTCTTCCGTTCACAGCCACACACTACAGCCTACATACTGGCTGGGAGCTACAGACGTACACAAACGACGGTTAAGTATGTAGTCGAATACAGCAGAAGCATCCTGAGGCCCTTGAGCACAAGTGTACTTGTACTTGACTCCTTCCAATCGTTACTGCAATAAGGCGGAGCTCGCTTTTATATCAGGGTGGACTCTCACCACCCAGCCCGTCCTCCAAACAAAGACCGGAAGGTGATTCCATCCACCCGCCAAACCCCCAGCTGTTTATGAATGAAAAACGGTTTACACACGACTCACAACTGATTTCGTTCGAACACTTCCGGAACAAGTGCTTCACTGACGAATTTTGTTCGAACCACAACGCTGTAAATGCTTCACCCACGTACTACAAATACAAATAATCGCCAACAGAACCTAAACACCTAACCTAACCTATGTCTATATATACACAATATGCTGTTATAATATTAATTTATATTTGAGAATATTCCCTTTTTGAATGAAGAGCATGTAAAAATTGATGAATGCGTCTGTGGGGTCGACAGCTGGATGTAATGGACTTGAGTCGAGGACAGGTAGCACCACCAAGAACCACACTTGCCCCATGTCACCTCACACCTCTTACTGTTCAAGATGCAACAGTGCCGGCACTGTAGCTGCAACTAGAACAGGTGCGGTAATGACAACAGCACCGGAAGCAACCGGAAACAACAGCAATTGCCCCAGGAAACACCAACTGCTTCAGACAACAACAGAACTTGTATCAGAAGCAGCAGTGGTATACGAAGCGACAGCAGCAATTAAACCAGTGTTTCCAGCGATTAAAACACTAATGGGTTCCTTAAGACACCACAACCATTCTTGAGCGGTGAGGATGGTCGCACAGGATATTGCACAACATCAAGTACATGTGTCGGCTTGTGTGGCTTAATGATGTGATTACCGGAGCACGGTGACCAGGGTGCTGATGAGGCAGGCATGAGGTAGGGGGCATGGGTGAGGTAGGGGGCCATGGGTGAGGTAGGGGGCCATGGGTGAGGTAGGGGGCCATGGGTGAGGTAGGGGGCCATGGGTGAGGTAGGGGGGCCATGGGTGAGGTAGGGGGGCCATGGGTGAGGTAGGGGCATGGGTGAGGCAGGGGGCCATGGGTGAGGCAGGGGGCCATGGGTGAGGCAGGGGGCCATGGGTGAGGCAGGGGGCCATGGGTGAGGTAGGGGGCCATGGGTGAGGTAGGGGGCCATGGGTGAGGTAGGGGGCCATGGGTGAGGTAGGGGGCATGGGTGAGGTAGGGGGCCATGGGTGAGGTAGGGGGCATGGGTGAGGTAGGGGGCATGAGTGAGGCAGTCCACCACGCTAATTCTCATCCAGGCATTCATCCACGCTGCCGGCTGTAAAGCTGCCTCCCCTCTACGCTACAAGTCCAACACGGGTCGGCTGATATGTCAACATTTCCTACCACTGGGTTTCGACTGTCGGTAAAATAGTTATGACGAAATCTCAGGAAATAATCCTGGCCACCCGTCAAAACACTCATGCAAGTCATTACAAGTAAAGAACAATAAAGACAACAGCGACTATATACTAACCTGGACAGAATACGCAAGAAATGTTCACACCGAACTTTGGCCAATCATTTGAGACATCACGTAACTTGATATCACGTAACTTGATATCGCGTAACTTGATATCGCGTAACTTGATATCACGTAACTTGTTCCCTGTATTTGTTTTCTGCCACTGTAGCATTTAGACCATGGAGCCATATTCTTTTAACTTGCCCCTATTCACTTATGTTTTCCTGAAGACAATTTCCTGAATTCTGGTCTTAGGTTATCTTACGCCTTCCATCTGAATACATCTGCATTTTGGTATAATATGTCTCGGTGATTTTGCCGTAATGATCAAGACAAATGAACAAGTTTGTGCTGAGGTGACCGGATCAGCCTGACTCTGCACCCCGTCCTCTGGCAGCATTCACAACGTCATTAAACTGATGTATTAAAAGGCCCGAGCCTAACCGAGGACCCACAGTAGAAAACAGGAAATAACGTCAATTTTGCGAGCCGCTATGATTATTAGCACATCATTTTTTGGCCCTAGTGGATTTATACCTCAAAAATGCGATGTATTATTCGAGAAGACAGTCTGGACTGTGATGGCTATGTGGGCTCTCGAGCTGCGAACACAGACCAGTTTTACAGACCAGGAGCCAGATTCACGAAGCAGTTACGCAAGTACTTACGAACGTGTACATCTTTCCTCAATCTTTGACAGGTTTACAAGCATGAAAATTTCCCAATCAACTGTTGTTATTGTTATAAACAGCCTCCTAGTGCTTCGGAGATCATTAACTGTTTAATAGTTGTAAACAAAGCAGCCAAAGATTGAGAAAAGATGTTGAGGTTCGTAAGTGCTTCGTGAATCTGGCCCGAGACAATCACTAGGGGAAGGCTGGCCACAGGCAGGCTGTGTGAGCAGAACTCTCGACACCATCAACAGGTAACTGGTATGAACACTTGTACAAGATAGCTCTTCCTGCTTTACAGTAAAGACTCTGTACTGTCACACCTACATACAGCAAACACCTGGATTATATAGCTCCTCTTTTTTCCATATATTTTTCTTACTTTGAAAATTAGCAGCCACTCAAAGTTATAAATGATGGTGTTGGCACTGGTCTGATGTTTTTTCCAATATTTTGTTAACTCCACTGTGAAGTTGACTTAAGGTCACTTAAGTCCACTTAAGTCCACTTCATGGGGGCTGTGAGAGCCCCCATGTAATCATTAACGTGAGGCTGCCCTTAGGATCATTGTCCAAGCGGCCCGGTCTCTTGTCCAGGCCTCCTGTCTGACGGTCTGGTCAACCAGGCTGTTACACCCAGCTGATCGCAGACTGACCTATGAATACAGCCCCAATTGATCAGGTACCGTTTGGAGGCGTTTAGGTACGGAGCGTGAACACTTCTCCACAGGTATGCCTAAATCACCTCCATCAACAAGCAACAAATCCAACTTCTTTATGGAATACGGGAAAGGAACTGTAAAGGAAATAAAACACAACGAGGGAACTTGACAACGAGGAAACTTGACAACGAGGAAACTTGACAACGAGGGAACTTTGACAACGAGGGAACTTTGACAACGAGGGAACTTTGACAACGAGGGAACTTTGACAACGAGGGAACTTTGACAACGAGGGAACTTTGACAACGAGGGAACTTTGACAACGAGGGAACTTTGACAACGAGGGAACTTTGACAACGAGGGAACTTTGACAACGAGGGAACTTTGACAACGAGGGAACTTTGACAACGAGGGAACTTTGACAACGAGGGAACTTTGACAACGAGGGAACTTGACAACGAGGGAACTTGACAACGAGGGAACTTTGACAACGAGGGAACTTTGACAACGAGGGAACTTTGACAACGAGGGAACTTTGACAACGAGGGAACTTTGACAACGAGGGAACTTTGACAACGAGGGAACTTTGACAACGAGGGAACTTTGACAACGAGGGAACTTTGACAACGAGGGAACTTGACAACGAGGGAACTTGACAACGAGGGAACTTGACAACGAGGGAACTTGACAACGAGGGAACTTGACAACGAGGGAACTTGACAACGAGGGAACAGGCAAACTTTCCCCAAGGTGCGTCCCAGAATCCATGTCCTTACCCCCCTCAAACTGGAATTACTCCGTGCAGGGTGAGTGCAAGAGTGTTCCGTGCAGGGTGAGTGCAAGAGTGTTCCGTGCAGGGTGAGTGCAAGAGTGTTCCGTGCAGGGTGAGTGCAAGAGTGTTCCGTGCAGGGTGAGTGCAAGAGTGTTCCGTGCAGGGTGAGTGCAAGAGGTGCAACAATGTATACACACATACAAACTGTTGCATGGCGTGGTACCGGTTCTGCCTCAAGCTAATTCCTTACAATCAAAGAGCCTAAGAAACCAGACGAGATGGTTAAGAAATCTGCCGTGTTCACTTCCAAACCCACCGTGTTCACTAACAAACCCACCGTGTTCACTAACAAACCCACCGTGTTCACTAACAAACCCACCGTGTTCACTAACAAACCCACCGTGTTCACTAACAAACCCACCGTGTTCACTTCCAAACCCACCGTGTTCACTTCCAAACCCACCGTGTTCACTTCCAAACCCAGCGTGTTCACTAACAAACCCACCGTGTTCACTAACAAACCCACCGTGTTCACTAACAAACCCACCGTGTTCACTAACAAACCCACCGTGTTCACTAACAAACCCACCGTGTTCACTAACAAACCCACCGTGTTCACTAACAAACCCACCGTGTTCACTAACAAACCCACCGTGTTCATTAACAAACCCACCGTGTTCACTTCCAAACCCACCGTGTTCACTTCCAAACCCACCGTGTTCACTAACAAACCCACCGTGTTCACTAACAAACCCACCGTGTTCATTAACAAACCCACCGTGTTCACTTCCAAACCCACCGTGTTCATTAACAAACCCACCGTGTTCACTTCCAAACCCACCGTGTTCACTAACAAACCCAACGTGTTCACTAACAAACCCACCGTGTTCACTCACTGACCAAGGCAACAAACACAAGGCCTAATTAGAAACCACTGTGCAGTCTCTGTAATCGTAATTTAACAAACAAAATTGATGATCTAAGCATTTAATTATCTTCGCGTGGGATTTATTTCTTTTGAAGAAGGTCATGTTTCTATCAACATCAGTGGGCCGAGACTCTCACAGTGTTCAAGAGAGAACTATCAACATCAGAGGCCCGAGACTGTTCAACACGCTTCCACTACACATAAGGGACATAACTGGCCGACCCCTCACAGTGTTCAAGAGAGAACTATCAACATCAGAGGCCCGAGACTGTTCAACACGCTTCCACTACACATAAGGGGCATAACTGGCCGACCCCTCACAGTGTTCAAGAGAGAACTATCAACATCAGAGGCCCGAGACTGTTCAACACGCTTCCACTACACATAAGGGACATAACTGGCCGACCCCTCACAGTGTTCAAGAGAGAACTGGATAAACACCTCCAAAGGATACCTAATCAACCAGGCTGTGATTCGTACGTCAGGCTGTGAGCAGCCGCGTCCGACAGCCTGGTTGATCAGTTCAGCAACCAGGAGGCCTGGTCAGAGACCGGGCCGCGCTGATCTTGAACCCCGGAAAAACCGTGGAGATGTTTGTCGATTATTGAGGTAAGTCCTCAATAAATTACGCGCAGAATAGTAAATAAATATAAACAAATGCATTCTGGATCCGAAGAATATATTTGGTGAATTGGAAGCTTAGTAATGTGAGCATGTATGTGTACGTGTACACACACACACACACACACACACACACACACACACACACACACACACACACACACACACACACACACACACACACACACACACACACACGGGTGCGTATGTGTGTGTACTCACCTATTTGTGCCTGCAGGATCGAGCATTGACTCTTGGATCCCGCCTTTCGATCCATCGGTTGTTTACAGCAATGACTCTGGTCCCGTTTCCCTATCATATCTAGTTTTAAAATTATGAATAGAACAAGTCTTTCTTCCACAACCTGGTCCTTAAGTGCATTCCATTTCTCCACTACTCTCACGCTGAAAGAAAACTTCCTAACATCCCTGTGACTCATCTGAGTTTCCAGCTTCCACTCATGTCCCCTCGTTCTGTTACTCATCCGTGTGAACATTTCGTCAATTTCCACTCTGTCAATCCCGCTAAGTATGTTATACGTTCCTACCATATCCCCCTTCTCCCTTCTTTTTCTTGTGTCGTAAGGCTCAGTTCCTTTAGGCGCTCTTCATACCACATCCCTCGTAACGCTGGGACGAGTCTTGTTGCAAACTTCTGAACCTTTTCCAGTTTCCTTATGTGTTTCTTTAGGTGAGGACTCCATGATGGGACGGCATACTCTAAGACTGGCCTCACATAGGCAGTGTAAAGCGCCCTAAATGCCTCTTTACTTAGGTTTCTGAATGTTCTAACTTTTGCCAGTGTAGAGTACGCTGCTGTCGTTATCCTATTTATATGTGCCTTAGGAGTTAGATTAGGTGTTACGTCCACGCCCAGGTCTCTCACGCGTCGTCACAGGTAGGCAGTTCCCCTTCATTGTGTACTGTCCCTTTGGTCTACTGTCACCTAATCCCATTTCCATAACTTTACATTTGCTCGTGTTGAACTCCAATAGTCATTTCTCTGACCATTTCTGCAACCTGTTCAAGTCCTCTTGGAGGATCCTACAATCTTCATCTGTCACAACTCTTCTCATCAACTTTGTGTCATCCGCGAACATCGACATGTAGGATTCTACTCCTGTAAAATATGTCATTAATGTATATTAGAAATAGAATTGGTCCCAGCACCGATCCTTGAGGTACGCCACTCGTTACTGTTCGCCAGTCCGACTTCTCGTCCCTTACCATAACTCTCTGGCTCATTCCTGTTAGGTAGTTCCTTACCCATGCTAGGGCCTGTCCGCTTACTCCCGCCTGCCTCTCAAGTTTGAATAGCTTTCTCATGTGCGGTACTGTATCAAAGGCCTTTTGGCAGTCCAGAAATATGCAGTCTGCCCAACCTTCTCTGGCCTGCCTTATCCTTGTTATTTTATCATAGAATTCCAAAAGGTTTGTTAGGCAAGATTTCCTTTTCCAGAACCCATGTTGATGATTGTTTACAAACCTAATGTTCTCCAGGTGTGCAACCAGTCTTAGCCTAATTATTCTTTCAAGTATTTTACAGGGGATGCTTGTCAGTGATACAGGTCTATTGTTAAGTGCCTCCTCCCTCTCACCTTTCTTGAAAATCGGTACGACATTTGCCCTCTTCCAGCAATTGGGCAATTTTCCCAACATAAGTGATTCATTAAAGATCCTTGCCAGAGGCACGCTGAGGGCCTGCGCTGCCTCTTTTGGTATCCATGGTGATACTTTGTCTGGTCCAACCGCTTTAGTTGCATCTAGTGTTGCCAATTGTTTCATTACCTGTTATCACCTCTATATCTGATAGTCTTTCATCTAGGGTAATCTCTTCTAATAATGGGAGCCACTCAGGCTCGGTTGTGAACACTCCATGGAAACTTGCATTCAATACCTCGCAGATTTCCTTGTCGCTTTCTGTATATGCCCCTTCTGTTTTCTTCAGTCTTGTCACTTGGTCATTTACCGACATCTTCCTTCTTATATGGCAATGTAGTAATTTAGGTTGTTTTTTCGCTTTGATTGCAATATCCTTCTCATAATTTCTTTCCGATACTCTTTTTATGTTAATGTAATCGTTCCAAGCTCTGTTGCATCTGATCCTGTTGTCCTCTGTCCTTTGTCTTCTGTACTTCCTCCACTCCCTCCTGCTTCTCATTTTTGCTTCCTGACACTGTCTATTAAACCATGGGTTATTATATTCCCTCTTACTTTTTTCCTTTACTGTTGATATAAATTTCTCTTTGGCATCCTGGCATTTCCGTATGACTAGGTCTATCTTATCTTGCATTGTTTCTCCTCTAATTTCTTCCTCCCACTGTACTTCTCCCAGATAGTCCCTTATCCTCCTGTAGTCCCCTTTCCTGAAGTCAACTCTCCTTTCCCAGACCTCTTGTCCCTTGGTCACAAGTTTGAGTTCCATCATGTAGTCAAAGACTAGGACACAATGGTCACTGGCCCCTAGAGGTATTTCATGTTCTAAATTCTCGATGTCTTCTGCGTTCTGGGTGAAAATCAGGTCTAATAGGCTCGGTGTATCCCCTCCTCTTTCCCTTGTGTCTTCCTTCACATGTTGTGTTAAGAAATTCTTGTCTATAACATCTACTAACTTTACTCCCCACGTTTCTTACCCTCCATGGGGATTCCATGATTCCCAATTTACCTCTCCATGATTTAGGTCCCCCATGAGCAGCAGTTTCGCTCTCATTCTGTGAGCTAATGTTGCTGCCCTCTGCAGTTCATCTATACATGCCTTGTTGTCATAATACTCCTGCTTGGGTCTTCTTCTGTTTGGAGGGGAATTGTAGATTACCAAGATCCCAATCTTCCTCCCATCTGCTGTTAGAGTTCCATGTATGGAGCTTTGTGCTTTCATTGGTACCCCGATTTTCCAGGTCTTCAAACTTCCATTTTCATTTTATTAGGAGTGCCACTCACCCTCCCTGTCTCTGTGTCCTTTGTTTTCTTATCTCCTGGTACCCCTCTGGAAAGATTGTATCCGAGATCATGCCATTTATTTTAGTTTCCACTATTGCAACTATGCCAGGATCTGCCTCCCTAACTCTTTCCTTTATCTCTTCTGCTTTATTGGATACCCGATCAGCATTGGTGTACCAAACCTTGAGACTCTTCTTGGAAAATTTGGTACCAGAGTTCACCCTTTCTCTAGGGGTCTGGGAGAATCTGGGGGTGTCTGGGGGGCGAATGGGGTCTGGGGTGGTGTCTGGGGGGGGCGAATGGGGTCTGGGGGGGGGGCGAATGGGGTCTGGGGGGGGCGAATGGGGTCTGGGGGGGCGAATGGGGTCTGGGGGTGCCTGGGGGCGAATGAGGTCTGAGCATCTAGGAAGGAAGGTGGGTAGGAAGTTCTGGGTAGGTAGGTAAGGGGTACGAGGAGCATACTGGGTCTGAAAATTAGGGAGGATCTGAGAGGCATAGGGGTGAGAGATAGTGTGGCTGAGAGTCAGATAGAGGTCGAGAAAAGGGGAGAATGGAGCGTGGGTAGTGAGAGAGAGGTTGTATTAGTCGGGGGGGGGGGGGGGGGGGAGGGGGACTCAGGGGTAGGTGTGGGCATTGGGGCAGAAGAGGGGAAGATGGAGATGGAGTAAGAGATGGGGGGTCGCAAAGGGATGGGGTCATATGGGAGAATGGGGGGCAGAGGAGGGTTGAGAGTTGGGTGGGTTTTGGGGGATGAGGGGGTCATTAGAAGTTGGGATGAAGCAGATGGAATTGAATGCAATGGGGTGAGTGAGTGAGTGAGTGAGTGAGTGAGTGTGTGTGTGTGTGTGTGTGTGTGTGTGTGTGTGTGTGTGTGTGTGTGTGTGTGTGTGTGTGTGTGTGTGTGTGTGTGCGCGCGCGCGCGCGTGCGTGTGCCCATTCATTTTAAAAAGGTGTCTACTAAATTTCTGCACATGTATTACCATTTCTGGATTATACCTGGAGTTGGTACTGAGAGTCTACTCTCCAAGCCCGGCCTAGGGCAAGGCTTGAATTGTGATAACTTGATCTAAAAATACAGTAATACGCAGTAAAACTTATTCATTACAAGTCGGTTGGCCCGGTACTTCTTACGGGGGATACCTGCTTGCTTGATACTTACTTGATGGGGTTCTGGGAGTCGTTGTTCTACTCCCCAAGCCCGGCCCGAGGCCAGGCTTGACTTGAGAGTTTGGTCAACCAGGCTGTTGCTTGGAGCGGCCAGCAGGCCCGCCTGTCCACCACAGCCCGGTTGGTCCGGCACGTGTTTTAGAAAATAATCTAGTTTTCTCTTCAAAATGTCCACGTGGACCGTAGGGGGTATATCTAACTGTTTCTTGAACACGCCCATTTTTTGTTCTGGCAATAGTTCTTA